CGTCTATAATATTATAAACGTCCGCGTCCTCCCAAGACGGACGTTCAAATGGCTGACACATGGAGAGTTGAAACGTTCAGTGTTCAGCCTAATGAAAGTCCGCGCCCTCCCAGGACGGACGTCTATAATATTATAAACGTCCGCGCCCCCCCAGGACGGACGTTCAAGTGGCTGACACATGGGGAGTTGAAACGTTCAGTGTTCAGCCTAGTGAACGTCCGCGCCCTCCCAGGACGGACGTCTATAATATTATAAACGTCCGTCTCGCCCCAGGACGGACGTTCTAACGGCTGACCATGGGGACTGAAACGTTCACTTGTTCAGCCTACTAGACGTCCTTCCCCCCAGACGGACGTTAATAATATTATAAACGTCTGTCTTGCCTCAGGATGGACGTTCTAAGGGCTGACCAGGGGGACTGAAACATTCACTTGTTCAGCCTACTAGACGTCCGTCCCCACCAGACGGACGTTCATAATATTATAAACGTCCGTCTCGCCCCCGGACGGACGTTCTAAGGGTTGACATGGGAGCCTAGTAGACGTCCGTCCCACTCCCACGGACGTTTATAATATTATAAACGTCCGGCTCGACCAAGGACGGACGTCTCGAGTTTTACTTATTTACGAATATGCCACCGGTCAATTATATACGTTGGGGCTTTTGTGGACGGACGTCTATGGGGGGACGTTAAAAGCCAATTCTGCACTAGTGACATGAATTAGAGAAAAAAAATATCCACAATGATTAAAACGCTCATAAAATAAAAGTCTTAACAACTTCCAAACGTAATAAAAGCACAAAAATAGTCAAGTTAATTCAAAAATTAAATTGAATCGACTCTGGACGAAAATTAAATTAAGATGACATAAGTTGATAATTTGGTCAAGTTGGTTCGGACGAAAATTGAATTAAGATTATATAAATTGATAATTTAGTTAAGTTGGTTTGGTTGAAGAATCGAGTCAACATATACTAGGAAGAAATTCCAATACAGTCAGCTTAATCCCAAATATGAGCTAAATTGTACAATATAAAGATTTAAATTCAATTAATGCAGGTTAAAGGTTGAGCCGATTCAGGTTAAAAGTTGAGCTGAATAATCCAAATTCATAGGTCAAGCAAAGTGGACCTGACTAAATGTCAAGTCGAGTTGGCCTGACCAAAGCTTCAACCAAGTTGTGATGGATGAGCCTAAGGTTGAACCAAACCGCAACAAGTTATAGGTTGAGCTTAAACAATACGAACCAAAGAGGTTGAAGGTTAAGCTGAGTTAGCCCGATTCAAAATTTAAGTATGTCAAAAGTTAAGTTGAGTCAACCCAACCAAAGGTCGAGTCGGTCTAAACTGAAGCATGACCTAAATTAGTCCGGCCAAAGAATTGAGTCAATTTGGCTTGACCTAAATGTTGACTTGAGTTAGTATGAACAAAGGTCGATCCAAAAGATCAACTCGAGTTAGTTTGATCGAAAAGTTGAGAAGAGTTGGTCCGAGTAAAATGTCGAACCGAGTTGATCCAAGTCAGACAGATCAAGCCAAAGGTCGCGACTATTTATGAAATTGACACTTCTAATATAGAGAAAGTGAATTATTTTTGTTGTAACGTGGCTGAACGAGTGTGGCATATGCGACGGGTGGATGTAAGAGTAATACATCATAACCAAGCAAAAGGATCATTTTCAACAATTATAACTTAATATCAAAGGAAATAGAAACTTAATATCAATTTTGTCTATCCTTAATTTGGAGACCGACATAGTAGGTAGAGACATCATGGTAAGGTTCGGAAGCTGTAAATTGAAATAATGAAGTGATTATAATCCTGAAAGGTTCTGCAAACTGTAAAATGAAATGAAACTGGTAGTTGTGATGGACCTAGATTTGGAACGTGGTGTAGGCACACGGGAATATTCCTAGTGTTCTACCTATCACTGTCATTCTCAACTACACCTAATCTTGGTAAAATTGGGTAAAATCTTTGTACCAGAAACAACAACAATGGATATAAGACATGTTGGTGAGAAGAGATGTTGTGGAACATTATTTACTTATAATCACAAATAACCATCCAAATGTTATTAGGAAGCAAGAGGTACCAGAATCATATCAAGAGTTACTAATAAGATGAGTAAGTTGGCAGGATCTACTGGATAGGGTAAGGAATAAACCCAAAAGCAGGGGAACTAGCAAAATGAAAACTAAAAAGTAGAATAAATAAAATCACATGAATGTCTAATTGGAGCGTTTGAAAAAAAAATGGTGTGACTGGTGAATGTTTGTTATTTGTTTTATTCTATTATAAAATGTTTGCTATTTGGTATTCTAGTGCACCTTTAATTATTTAATCACCATTTTAATTCTGTATTTTATATAATTGTATATTCATATATAGTTCCCAATCACCACCAACCCTTAATCCAGATTCGTTAAACTTTTGTATTAATGGATTCATTTATATTTTTTTACTCAAATCAGTTTGATTAATATTTAAATAAAGATAATATGATTCCTTTATTGAAATCAATGTTAACATATCTAAGAAGTAAGCATATGAGTCCAAACTCTCTACTCCCTTTCTATCTCTTCTTTTATGATTCAATTCCGCTGAAACAGTCCCTTTCAGATACAATAATAAAAATCATATCTAGTACGAATGACAATGCATTTTCGATATGCGGATATTTATTAGATTAAATTTAATTAAAATTATATTTTAATTTATATTTTATTTTGTAATTTAGTTATATTTTATTTTAAAATTTTATAAATCTATATTTTTTTAAATATTTGTGAATATTTCTTGATATCCGTGAACTTTAAAATATTTTTGAGTATTTTTTAAATGGATATCTAACGAGTAAAAATAAGTAACAAGAGTAAAAATAAGTAACAAGTAAATTTTTTGGTTGTGTTAGACATTATTCGTACCTAATCCAACACTCCAAAGTCTCTTCAAGTTGGCCCTATCTTTCGTGAAAGAGACACCCACTCCAAAAATGATTGAACACTTTTTTATAAGTTAAAGTTACTTTTATCTAAAACAGTTCATGTTCCACTCACAAAAATAGATGAGTGATATTGTTTCGGTAGATTAGCATGCATCCAAAATATTGTTTACTTTGAAACATGTCTTCTATGTGTTCTGTTACAATTTTATCTTTAAAATGCGTATGAAAGAATGGAAGAAAAAACAAATATTTAAAGTGCCTTGGTCACTTAATGCTAGGAATAGTTTATACGATTAATAAGAAATTATATTTTGTTTGAATTGTCTAAATTAACTTTTAGTATTAGTTACCAAAATATTACCTACTTAATATTATTGATTTTAAATTAGTTTTTAATTTATTTTGATCTTTAAATCTTAGAACTTGAAGTACCTCTCTCGTGCGCCAAAGCTCTCTCTGTTGCCGAGCGATGCGCATTTGCTTGCTTCCACATGCATGCGTCTTATGCCTTATTTATAGCCTTTTACCTTCCATTGTAAATAGAGATCTTTTTACATCTTTTTTCTTTGCATCCCTTTCTTTTCTATCTTCAATATATGAGAATCACTCTTTCATCATCTGTAAGTTTGCTTTCTCCTACCTTTCTCCATTGAAGCAATTTGGGTTTTCAGGAAACTTGAATTTCATAAACTTGATATCATATAAGTAATTAGATGGTATCTCAGCTCTTCAATTGAAGAGCTGTGCTGCATTCTCTCTGATTTTGTTCTTTATTCCTTCTTTAGCTTTTCTTTCATTTCTTTTGTTTCTTGTTAGTTAGTGCTTATTTTCCAGTTTGCTCATCATGGTAAAGAGAAGTTACACAGTTAACAACTGATAGTCATCTTTATCTACAACCGAGTCAAAGTCCTACCGTAGCTCTTGTTTCATTAGTTCTGGACTTAAACAATTATCAATCATGGAGTAAGTCTATCCTTACTGCATTGAGTGCGAAAAACAAGTCTCAATTCGTTAATGTACAGGCCAAGAAACCAGAAAAGAGCAGTTCTTTCTACAATGCATAGCAAAGGTGTAACGACATGGTGGTGTCATGGATTGCGAACTCCGTGTCACCATAAATTAGGTAACGCATTCTTTGAATGGAGGGTGTGAAAGAAATTTGGATCGACCTGAAATCAAGATTTTTTTCAAGAAGATTTGTTATGCATTTCAGATTTACAAACAGAAGCAACTAAATTGAAGCAAGGAGACTATAGTGTGAGTGAGTATTTCACCAAGCCTCGGACTATCTGGGAGGAATTGGAGAATTTTTTACCAAACATTGGATGTACCTGCGAAGTCAAATGCTCATGCAGAGCATCAGAGACTAATGTGCAGCGAAAATCAGAGGACCAAGCTATACAGTTTTTAAGACGTCTAAACGAATCTTACAGCAATGTCAGGTCATATATGAAATTAAACATAATCTCATCTCAATTTAATTTCAGATTCCTCCTTGCAAACTATATTCTCTAATTATGGAAAAGATACTTTTGTTAGGTAATTTTCTTAAATGAATTTATTTTTATGAAAAATTCAACCAAAGGAGAACCAAAAGTGGAAAGAAAAAATATCAAATTGCACAAATATAGTAATATTATTGATGATGATGCCAGAGAAACACAAATAAGTCCATGTGTATTTTGGATATTTTATTGGCTTTTACTTGGCTAAGGATCCAAACGTGAAGCATCTAACCATATATCTCTATTTAATTTTTCTCTCGAAGTTTGTTTTTTTTTTGGACGATTAGATTGAAAGTAAGAATGATCAATGAATTCATTTTTGTCATGTTTTTGGAATGATTAGTTTGAAAATAAATTCATTTTTGTCATGTTATGATTTTGACGGAGAAGCTGTATTAATTAAATATATATAATTTTTTTAAATTGTTTGTTTAAATTGTTCATGAAGACATAAAATGAGTATTTATATATGTAAAAGAACTCTTTGTTGTGGAAGTGATCGACATGTGCTACAGCAGTAAAAGGATACAAACATATTCACCATAAGGGGACAAAGCAATTACCCTTAATCACTTTCTGCACCATTACAAGCACAGCTTAACGAAGTAGGCTGGTGAATGTTATTCAACACAGTGATTCAAACAATCAAAACCACAAAAAGAGCTACACTTGTGACTCAAACGCACACAAACCAGCATTCACCACAGTGAAGCCTCCATCCACAACGAGATCATGACCACTAACATACCTCGACTCATCACTCCCCAAGTAAACCACAGCTTCAGCCACATCTTCGGGTTTCACAGTAACACCTTTCAGATTCGAATAAAGTGCAGCAATCCCCTCATCATCAGTGTTCAGAAACTTCCTACTCATCGCCGTCGGAACTCCGTAAGGAGACACACAGTTCACACGTATTCCCAAGGGTCCAAGCTCCACTGCAGCGTTTCGCACCAGCCCCACAACGCCATGCTTCGAGCACGTGTAAGCGTGCGAAGCCGCGCCACCTATGCGTCCACACACGCTTGCGGTGGCGATTATGCTGCCACGTCGAGAAGGGGCCATTACCCTCGCCGCATGCTTCATTCCGAGGAAGACGCCGACCAAGTTGACGTTAATCACTTCCTGGAAATCGGACACTTTGTTGTGAATAATGCTGGGGTTCCACACTTCTATGGTCCCTGCATTGTTGTGCATGATGTCTAGTTTCCCGAACCTAGAAACGGCTGTGTTCACTGCATGTTCCACGTCTTCCTCTTTTGTGACGTCGCAGTGGACGTAGATGGAGGAGTCTATGTCCTTGGAAACAGAGTGACCTAATTCGTCTTGGATATCAGCGATGACTACTTTGGCTCCATGCTTCGCCATCAGTCTCGCCGTACACTCCCCTATGCCACTTGCTCCGCCTGTGATCAACGCCACCTTCCCTTCTAATCTGTTTTCCAATCAAATCACAGTTACGATGGATATATGTTTTCACTATAACAAAAAGGAAAATGGTGAAGAGATGTTGGGATGGTTTGGGTTGAGATACCTTCTGGCTACTGCAGAGGACACTAGTGAAACACTTCCCATTATTCTCGCAGTTTGTTTTTCAACCACACAGCTTCTTCGGTGAGGTGTGGTACGTTTTTCTTTCTTCCACTTCTCCTATTTATACAAAAGAGATTCATGATATTTAAATTATTTGTAATTAAATTTTCATCATTTTTAAATATTGTGTTTAGATAAAATAATTAAAATAATTTATATTTCAAATTTTGTTAAATAAAGTAATTGAATTTGCCTCTTAAGATAAATTTTCATTATAAAAAAATATATATTTTGAAATTAAAATTTACAAAATAATATTAGTTTTATTTAAATATTAAAATATTGAACAATTTAAGTTTATCATTACGTATAATGTGTACAGAGAGTAGAAGTCTCGTGTCACTTAGACTTACTCTTTAGGAAAGACATGGTTTTGCTCTTAAAAGAAAAGTCTCACAAATTGAAAGGTAACAAAAGCAAAAATAGTCAGTGAAGTCAAAGAATGAATCGAGTGTCAGGTTGACGATTGAATTGCAATCATCCAGTCCAATAATCGAATTAAGTTGGTATGGTCGACAAATCAAACTAACATATACTAGAAAGAAGATCCAAGTAGAATCAGTTTAAAAAATTAAGTTGAGCCGATGCAAGTTAAATACTAAGGTGATCTAGGTTATGAGTTGAGTCATTTACACTGTGTTCACTTAAAGGTGAAACGTTGTTTATAAAGAAAAGAGGGTGATGATTTGCGAGACACAAATTGTTCGTTTCCGCTGATTTGCGAGTAAAGAAATGCGATGATTTGCGAGATGAGGTTCTTTTTTTCATCTCGCTATCAAGAGGAGATTTGCGCTAATTCCCTCGCAAATAATTATTGACGAAATGGACAATTTCTCCTATGATGATGACCTTGGTTGAGGCAGTAAGAGCATTTTTTTTTACTTATCTGGAGTGGATTGATCCATTTTTTAGTAAGAGCATTTTTTTGACTTATATATCATTGCATGTCATAGCAATATACACATTTCGCCAATAGTTATTTATTAATCTTACCAATTTGTAATCCAATCAATAATTAATATATTACTATTAATATTTCTTACTAATATTTCATATCAATTTTCGTTTATGTTTTTATTAAATTTTTCTGCATTCATTAAATCATAACGACAATTTCTTTTTTCGTATAACACAAACAACACAACAAATATGTAAACTGACAACAAAAATTTCATTCACCAACCGAACACTCTGGCAATCGATTACAATCTTGTGGTAATCGATTACCAGGAAGTTTTTTCCCTTGCACCTCCTGGTAATCGATTACTACTACAGTGTAATCGATTACTAGTGTCATTTCTGCCTACAAAGGTGAAGTTGTGCAGGGGGAGCACGACTTTAACACGTTGTAATCGATTACAACATCATGAAGTCGTTTTTGGGGTGCACGACTTCAACACTGGTCAAATGAACAGTGTGAAGTCGTGCAGGGGGCACGACTTCTTCATTAGAAGTCATTCTGACCCCTAACGATTTGGTCAAAATTTGCCTATTTTTGTAATATGGCAGGCAAATTTGACTAGTTTGGTACAAAAGCCAGACTAAGGTAAGAAGGTTTTGTTGAGTAAAATTAGGGTTTTGTTGAGTTGAATGAAGAAAATATGAGAAAGGGGTAGTGTGGGTACAATGTAAGAGTATAATCTACGTGATTTGGTCTGAGAAAGGCTTTATACAGATATAAAGCGTAATGAAGATAGATAATTATGCATGGCAGAGAGTTTTCATGCAATGTGTTGGTGAGGAAAATAAGAAAAATGTGAAGAATGTTTGTGCTTGAAGAGTTTACGGAGAGAGTTTGTAGAGGAGAAAAGTTGGAGTAATAATAGTTCATGCATGGGTTGTTAGATTTTGTAGTGTGCTGTTAAAGAAAAAGTGAAAGTGTATGATATTTGCATGGATAAAAAGATGTGATTTCAGTGCTGAGGAAGAGGGAGAAAGAAGATTTCACGGGAGAATTTACTGAAAGGAACACATTGTGGTCTTTGCATGGGATTAATGTTTTTCTAGCTTAAGTTAAGTTGGGTAGTGTTTAGTTAAGTGAATAAAAGAAGAAATTATGACACTTTATGAAACCAAAAAGATAAGGAAAACTTTCTTTTAACAACTTTTTTTGACAATTTTTTGACAATTGTTTATGTGGTAGCTTCTGATTGGTCTGTTTCAAATACACGGACCAATACAACAGTGACACATAATCCATTGTCAAAAAGTTGTTAAAATATCATGGTCCAAAAGATAAATTGTATCTGTACAACAAAACTTCATCCAAAGAAAGAGATAAAAAGAAGGACATGATATTTTAACAACTATTTTTAACAACTTTTTGACAACAGATGATGTGTCACTATTTTATTGGTCTGTATATTTGAAACGGACCAATCACATGCTACCACATAAATTGTTGTTAAAAATTTGTCAAAAAAAGTTGTTAAAGAGACATTTTCCAAAAAGAAATAGAGAAAATTTCGAGTTAAAATACTCAATATGACACAATAAATAATTGATGAATTCATTTTACTAAATTCATTTTACTTCAAAATTATTGAATCTCACTTCCATAACAAATAAATTCATTTTACTAAATTATAATTTTTTTACTTTTTAAAAATTAATTTTAATCATTATTTTTAATTTTTTACTATTTATAAACATTTTTACAATTAAATATAACATTAGCAATTATCATTTTATATTACTTTAATAAATATGGGCATTTTGATAATCTTCAATTTCTACCAATTAAACAAATTTTTTAAAACTGTCACATCAATCAAATGCTACAATAATTCTCACAAACTTTACCTCTAAATCCACTCTCAATTACCTCCAAATCCACTAAAGTAAACACAAAAAAATTTACTCTCAAATCCACTTAAATTCATTCAATCATTCTCCCCCAAATCATCTCCCCTAATCACCCCCAAGTGAATACAACATTAATTCAAAGGTTAAGATAAGTCAGTACTAAATATCAATTTGAGTTGGCCCGATCAAAGATTTAACCAAACTATTATGGATGAGTTTAAGGTTGAATTGAGTTAATCTAAGTTGTAGGTCGAGACAATAAAGACCAAAGGAACCAAAGGGGCCAAAGGTCAAGCTGAGTTTGCCCGCTTCAAAAATTAAGTTTGTTATTTTAAGCTTTTTAAGTCTGTTTTAGAACAAACTTAGATTCGGCAGACTTAAATTTTAAATTTGTTATGAAATAATAGACTTAAATTTTAAATATGTTATTAAGCAACGTACTTAAATTTTAAATATGTTATGAATGAATAGACTTACATCATAAGATTCATCTTTCTTATATTAAAGTTCCATCCACAATAATGATCAAATTGGAATATAATACAACATAAATAGATCTTCACAATCAATAATTATTCCAATTCAATTCATCTTCACAACCAAACAAATACAATAAAAATTCAATGATATTTTTTTAAACAACATAATACAAAAAAAAAATAGGGGTAGAGAAATTAAAGTCACCAGAAATGCTCATAAAATCCTAAAACTCTAAAAATTCTCAACCCTAAAAATCACTAACAGACGGCGACAATGGCAACGGTAATGCAAAAGGCGATGTCGAAAGTGGCAAGATGCGACAACAACAACGACAGCGTGAGATTCTACGAGAGGCAATGTGGCGGCCAGATCGAGAGGCGACGAGGCGACTTGCAAGATACAACGCGATGGTCTACAAGAGGCGACGCGAAGGCCTGTGAGAGACAACACAGCGACTACGACACGCCTGCCCTTCGACGCAGAGACGGGGAGATCTCGCCCAAAAATAAAGGTGGACAACACTTTCCATCGGACTTGGATGCAAAAGCGTTGGAGTTGGACATGGAGAAGAATAGAGAGAAGAAAAAAATTCTAAAGGTTGAAAAAAAGTAAAGAAAGGAGTCTTCTGTTTTGAACAGAAGAAGAAAGTGAACATAGTAAAGAAAAAGTTTTCATTTAGGTTAATCCTAGATTTAGATCTAATAACAAATTAACATATACAAAATTAAAGTCTTATTGTATTAGAAAATACTTATAATATTTATTTAAGTATGTTAAGAAACTCAACGGATACAAAAATTTAAGTCTAAATGTATTCCAACATACTTAAAACCAAAATTTATGTTTATTATGATATTAACAAATTTAAAGCATGCACTTTTATTTAGTAAAATGTCATCGCACATTTATTAAATTTTTTTTTTTTGAAACAGACTTAAATTGAGAGAGGCTGATTTTGTACTAATGATTACTTATCACAAATAACCATCCTATTGTTATTAGGAATCAAGAGGTACCATAATCATATAAAGAATTACTAATAAGTGATGAGTAAGTTGGTAGGATCTACTGGATAGGGTAAGGAATTGAGGGAAATTTAGGTGCAATACAAATTTTGTGCTGCAAGTAAGGAAAATAAACCCAAAAGTAGGGGAACTAGCAAAGATTAATAATACACAAAGCTGCATAATTGAAAAATAAATGAATAGTAAAAAGTAGAATAAATAAAATCACATGAATGTATAATTGGATTGTTTGAAAAAGAAAAATGAATGGTGTGTGACTGGTGAATGTTTGCTATTTTCTTTTATTCTATTATAAAATGTCCAATTATTTTAAAATCATTCAAACACGACGTTAAATAACGTATTTGGTATTCTAGTATGCATCATTAATTATTTACTCACCATTTTAATTCTGTATTTTATATAATTTCATATTCATATATAGGCCTCAATCACCACCAAGCTCTTAATCCAGATTCGTTAAATATCGCTAAAATCCCTGGCTAGTGCAAGTGCGTGCTAGCATAGAAAAAGAGAAAAGTTTGGGAGTTGGTGGAGCTGTGTTATGCAACCTATTTGAGAATATGGGGGTGGATGTTTCAAAAGTTATACAAAAGGACAAGTAATGCAACTACGAAAAAGAAAAGTATATGATAATAGTGCTTTTGATATAGGATATAATAAAATATTAAATATATTTTTATTTCTTAAACTTCAACTCAGAATTAGAATTTATTTTTAGTTTTGATATAATAT